TTGTGCCTACTACTGACTAAGAAAGGTGGCAGGTTTCTGCAGCATCTTTTGCTTAAAAGGCAGATGATTCGACCCGCGGTTTCTGCCTTATCATCAGGCACCCATTCTGTGATAACGATATACGCTCATTTTTAAGTTTAGAATGCTATCGACTAGCTCAATTGTAACTTAGTTCAGAATACTGACGAATCGACTTCAACTCTTTTCTACGCTGTTACCTTATTACATTAATATTAAATTAATTGTCCATTTTCTTGGGTCTTGTCGGTCTTTTCACAGAAAACATTTTTTAAATTTTGCAGTCTCGAGTGACATAAATTATTACTACGTCATGAACAAATGTTAAAATACTAAACATGTAACGGCTAACTCTAAGGGTAAGAAGTCAGTTATTTCAGTCCGTTTTAGGATGGAGCAGCGTCTGCGGAGTAAAAATAAACTCACCAAAGCAGAGAGTTATCTGTAAACAACAAACTCAATGGTCGAATCCAAAAGCTTGCATCTCGCGGTAAACTCACGAATCAAGCGCAGATGCTTCTTATCAACATCTGGACCTGAACTTCTTCGGGTGGACTTAAACAAGTGAAAGAAAAAGGGATCAAGATATTCAACGAGCTCCTGACATTGGCCCTGAAGACACTGCCTTATTCACAAATAGAATCAGAGCTGCCAGCTGCTTGGCTATGCTGGTGCTAGCACGTGCTCTTGGTGTCCTGAAATGGTCCCGGATTTCTCTCGATGATCTTGATCCAAAGGTCAGGACTACTTTGACGGATTTTGCATGCATCATCATCCGAGATCATCTGTAGCTAATATATCCGCAAAGGAGGTGCGGTGGCGCAGTCTGCTCAAAATTGCTGATTTGTACAGAGTAAAAAGACATTTCGCGTATACTTTCTGACGAAGGATTCATTTTTACATGGAGCCATATCTAAAGCAGACAAAGTATATACGCACCTGATTCTGTGTGGTTGAGAATCGCCATCCACACCAGAAGAATGGCTAAAAAGGTTCTTCATGGGCTTTACCATGCTACCCCTATATCAGATGAAATCAACATGGAAAATGTAGTTTGCTTAACTTCGAGAAACAAGGATTTGCAATGGCAATGGAAGGTTAAGTTGCGCTTATGAAGAACTATATAAAAATTCGTTCTGAAGGAAAGCAACTCCAATGAGTTCAAAATGCATGGCTGTACAACCCGAATCGATCAAACATATTGCCTCGTGTTCTTTTGTTTTGGCCAACCTTAAGTACCTCAGACTGTAAAGATCCTACACCAATAATTGGCACTTGAAAGAGTCCCAATTTTAGAAACCACGTAGTATCGATATCGTCTAGAAAGCAGTTTCAAAGATGACCAGTGCGCCATCTTCATCGACCACTCTATGCCTCCTGATCGTGACAGTCCTCACATACTAAATCTGGATCTGTAGAACAAGACAGCAGAAATTACTGATGCTACGCACCATTCGACGAGAATGTGCAGAAAACATGGGTGCAAAAACGCAAAAAATCTTTACGATCTGAAGCAGGTATTTTAGTTGAAGACTACACGAATAACCCCAGCGGCAATCTTTGCAAATGATCTCATTCCAACATCAATGAAGACCGGATTAGAATGGCTGATGTTCACAGAAAGGCTACTAAAAAAGCACCAAGAAGCTGTTATTTTGAATATCGCCAGGATACAGCGAAATGTAACAGATTTGCAGCAAGCCACGGCTAGAGGGTCTGCTTAACCCGTGATTGCTGACAAAATATTCTTTTTATGAGAGAATATTAAATGATGGTATAGTGAATATCAACATTAAGTTTTTAATCGACAAATTTGTTTGAAGATTTACTCCGCATATAAGTTTTATTAACTAGTACCAAACGGTTCGTATAGGCGTAGATCCTTCATTAGGGGACATTCGGTAAAAACGTGCGAAAACGATGTTGCAAGCTTTAAATACGAATTTTATATGGTTTACTTTTACGCTTGATTCATTTATTATTGGAGTGGATTAACGATTTCATTTACGCAGGGTGCTGAAACAAGTGTTTATATTTAAATTAGCAATTCATTAAATTAACATCTGACAGAACAAGTCAAGCTTTGATAAATCAAGGTTAAGTGTCGGACGTTAATCGTGTTGAAAATTAACCTGGTAACGGGTAAAATCAGAACAGTGAAAGTATAGCGTTACTGTCGACAATAGGAACCATGTTACGTAATTCAGCAGGCAGTTGTCGTTATGTCATCATTAGATTAGATTGGATCATTGTGCAAATGCTTATTGTGAGATCAGTTATGGTCCAAACGAAAGATAGGTGTTTCTGAGACTGGAGATATGCCGGACATGATCCTGTTAGTTTCATTAAAGGTACATTATGCATAAAAAATCTATATGCTTGCGAAATCAAGCAGATCATCTACTGTTTTAGATGATCAATAAGATATAGCAAAATTTGAAACAGCAAAGAAGGGAGTTACATTTCAGCCGTGATGGCAAAAAGCAGTTTCGAATTAATCATATTTTCCCGAAGCTTCAATAGCTTTAAAAGAATACCTGTGTAAGGTTGCGACAAAAAAGCTAATCGTCGGCCGGCAGCATACGGATGCTCGTTGGCACTCATTTGGAGTGTAGAAGTGTAGAAGTAGGAGTGTAGATACATTTCTGGAGTGCACAGATGGAATCACTCTTGCTTTTTCTGCCGAAGAATAATGTGCCCTAGCCCTAGCCTGTTTAAGAGTACGCACAGTGAACCGTGTTCCAATGAAAAGCAGCGACGCTTAAAATTGCCACTCGATCGTTATCTGTCGAGTCAACTCTATCTGTCTTATCTAACACCCACTTTTCATGTATTCTACCTCATACCGCAAACCTCTGAGAAACTGTAGCCAGGTGCCCAAAAACCGTTTCATAACTTCTCTGTACGAGGAGCTTCGAACGTTTTTGACCGAAGCTGAGAAAGCCGTTCTGAAGTCTTTCACGGATATCTAAAGTGCAGCCACTGCCACCTACAGCTGGTAAGCAATATTGAACACAATAGTTTATAATAAACAATTCGAGACCTCATCGTTCTTCAACCTCTATTAATGGCATA